AGCAGCTCGAGTCCTGACTAGAACCAGGAAGTACGACCATATTAGTCCGGTCCTCAGGTCTCTGCACTGGCTTCCTGTGGCTCAGAGAATAGACTTTAAAACAGCTTTGCTTGTGTACAAGTCTCTCCATGGCCTCGCACCAAAATATATTAGTGACATGTTAGTCCCATATGAACCAGCCCGGACTCTGAGGAGCACAGGGACTGGACTCCTGTTAGTGCCCAGAGTCAGAACTAAACATGGGGAGGCTGCTTTTCAGATTCATGCTGCTAAAATCTGGAACAGTCTTCCTGAAGATGTGAGACAGGCCTCCTCTCTGACAATGTTTAAAACCAGGTTAAAGACGGTTCTGTTTAGCTGTGCATACAACTGAGGGATTTTATATTTTTATCTTTTTCTTTTTTTTTTTTTTTTTATGTACTGTGATTATTTATGATTTTAATGCTTTCTTGTTCTGTTCAGCACTTTGAATTGCCTTGTGTATGAATTGTGCTATACAAATAAACTTGCCTTGCCTTGCCTATATAACCAGCACCAAGTGTTTCTGTCCACATACACAGCCGCCAAACTTCAATAGAAGCCGCCGGGTTTCATTTTGTAACGTAACACCATCAACAAAGCCGATAGATGACTCTTCTAACTGCTAAGGAAGGTTTCTCACCCATCATCTGTACTTCTTAGCAAGTTTTCCCAACTTGCTAAGAAGTACAGATGATGGGTGAGAAACCTTCCTTTGCTTTGACTAATCCCTGTACGACTGAGGGCTTACACAAACTCTAACTGCTGTTTTGACAACACGTCCCATTCCTATTGAAACTCGTTTATTCGTCGCACAGTGGGGAAATGTCAGTGTTGCATCCAAAGTTCATGAACACACAACACAAGTGAATATTTAGTATAGTTCAAATCTATACTTAATGAACAAAAAGTAAAATCTATCTCCAGCTTAAGAAGAAGCAAAATATCTGATTAAAGCCTGGTTCACACAGCAGGATTATTAGGCCGATTTTGGACCAGATTTACCCCTACGACAATCGTAAGAACGGTCCGAATATCGTAACAAAAAATCTGATGGATTTTCCTGCCGTGTGTGGTGTGTTAAGACTGCACTCGTCGCTCTGAAGGACTTCGGGACTGCTCCGATCTCAAATCGGGAATATCCAACATGTTGGATTGTTTTGGCCCGATTTCTCCTCGTGTGTGGTGTCCCCCGAGGACAGACGAGCGCGTTGCCATGACTGCGGCATGTAGCCAATCAGAAGACGAGACGAGGCGGCGAGGAAACGTCGTAACAAAACAACTCACCTCCAAATCACAATGTATCAAGTACAGTCCGAGCTTGTGTTGTCTATACTTCTTTGACCATGGCCTTTTCTTTTGATTACGTCTTTTCTCTGCTAAAAACAAACTATCGCCACTTCATCCTCTTCGTCCGCCATGATTGTTTACTCTGAAGTCGCGCTTGATCTCGCGAGATTTTGTGAGATTTCCGTCTGATCTGGGAATCGGGGGGGGGGGGGGGAAATCGGTTTGTGTGTGATGTGTGTGGTTTGCGTGATTTTTGCCGTGTGGCTGCACACCACACACTGTACGACCAAAGTGGTTAGACCCTTGATTTTTTATCTCCGTGTGTGGGTCTCACAGAGAGAAAGAAATCGGCCGACAATTTTAAAATCGTCTTGTGTGAACCAGGCTTAAGTAAAGTGACAGTGGACACATGTGGTGCCATTTCTTTCAGATGCCTGACATGTTAGGTCAGGTCTGCAATGTTTATCAGTCGTTGTTGTTCATCATACAGTCTGACAGCAGCAGGCAGGAAAGACCCGTGGAACCTCTCCTTCACACAGCGAGGGTGGATCAGACTGTCGCTGAAGCCGTTCTCCGTACAGCCTTTATCACATACAAAACAAGTGTAATATTTCTCTGTGTGGGAGCTATCTACTGTTCACATAAACATACCGGGAGCATGTGTGCAACATCATTAGCTCTGGAGGTCAACGGTGCCGACATTCTCAAGGTTCAAAGAATGGAAAAGTTGAACCTAATAGTCCAGCATTACGGTACATTCAATTTCAGCCTCTTTGGGGTTTGACCAGTGGGGGCTGGTCCCGGCTCCAAAAGGTCCATGAGCACGTGCACTGACATGCAACAATACCGCTCCGGGCTGGTGGGGTGTCACCGGAAAGCAAATTACCCAATGCTTTTGTATGGCATCTTCTTTCCTCTCAATAAAATAGTCTTTACAGGATAGTCTAAAAGTTGCTTTTGGCCCAAGTTCTAGTTGCTTAGGGGAGTCTTTTTTTGGACCAGTCTAGTTTAGCTGCTGTGGACTTTTGAATGCGCTTGTTAAATGAGTGGGGCTGATGCAAATGGGTTTTTTCACATTTTTCTTCCCCACGGCCATATGGAAATTGCCACAGAAGCCAAAAGTGGTGGCACATTAGTTTGAATGGTGAAGATAGACTGTAAATATTAAAGGACGCCTATGTGTTTTAGAGGCTTAAATTCCCCCTCTTTTTAGTATGACTCTTTTAGTTGTCCATTCGTGTGTCGTGTTGGAGGAGGGAGTGGACAGCGGGCTGTGACGGTCCTGGTCCCCTCCCCAGACGCTTCCCCTCAGCAGGTCGCAGCTCTCAAAAGGTCAACTGTCTCCTGGTGTACGCTCTCTCTGATAAGGGCAGCTCCTTCCTGGGAGATCTTGGCCAAATGGAATTCTTCACTCTTTCAACCACATTAGACAAATTAAATAGTGTTTTTAGCTTCCTCCACTCTTATCTCGCCCCCATATCATCTTTTCCATATACAGACATTCATTAAATGTTTCAAAACAGGTAAAACATTCTGGAAATGCAAAAACAAAACTGCCAGTCCATGGATCTATAGATTGTTTTTCAATGCCGTATCAATAGTTATGTATGCACGTCCGTGCGAGGAATAGCAAGTGCGGCGCTTTAGAGGCAGTGGATACAGAGACCAATGGATTCGGCGAAAGCAAGAGATTAACTTTTTCCTCGGGAAGCACATGTGGCTATCAGAGAGCCGCACGGAGCCATCACGAGGACACAAGACACTCGAAAACAGCCAAAACAGGAGGACTAAAACCAGGACTAAACCAGGATTAAACCAAGACTGACAATGAGGAACACTGTGCTTGTGAACATAAGTCTCCAGCCTCATTCTGTAAACAAGGGCTCCTAACGTGTGTAGCCGACACAAAAATGTATTTATTTGGGTTTTTTTTAAAACAATCAATATATATTGTTATCGACCGATATGAATTACTTATATTGTGATATAGTTTTCAGCCATATCGCCCAGCCCTAACTCAGACTATGAGGAGCATAGGGATTGACCTCCTGCTGTCAGGACTGAACATGGGGAGGCAGCATGTAAGATTTTTGCTGCTGAAATCTGCATCAGTCTTCCTGAAAATGGGAGACAGGCTTCTGCTCTGACAATGTTCAAAACCAGGTTTAAAAACAGTTTAGCTGCAACAACTGAGGGATTGTATCTTTGCTCTTTTTAACACACTGTGATTATTTATGGTTGAAATGCCTTTTGTATTGTTTTGCTTTGAGTTTCTTTATGTATGAACTGTGTTTTACAAATAAACACACTGTGCAGAAATGAAGACGTTTGTGTGTTCACAAAATTTCTTTCAAAGCTGAACGTTGCTTATTTGTCGTTAAAGTCATTCATGTCCTCTCCCTCTTTCTGCTCACAGGGAAAATGGAGAACCACTACCATCAGGGCGCCAAGAAAGGACTGCGGGCGCCCCCAACTTTCTGACCGCTCCGAGCCGACCCCAGCACCCCCGGCCTCCTCACCCTGCTGCTATTGGACACATTTTCAGAAATTCTGCCTCTTCATAAGCACTTTCACAGTCTGCTGAATGATTGTGTAAGTGCCTAGGACTTGGAAAAGCCAGCTAAGCAGCCGCTCGGAAAGATTTAACTCCACCGTTTGTTGCCAAATAGTGATCCCCAGTGCTCCGCAGCTGTGTGTAATGCTGTCTTTGTATACGCAATTATCGATGACAGGTTGTGTGAATCAAACGTTAAAGCTGCGGTACTCAAATGACGGATCCATCAAACTGTGTGTCAGCTCGCAGCCCAAAGAGGCGTTTAGTGACTCACGGAGCTCAGCATGCAACGGTTTGCTATAGCTCAAATGTGAATTATTGCACAATACGGAGGGGAAAAATGTGTCTGAGGGTTTAGAATTGACTCACGAGAAGAAGAAAAAATATTTCTTTTGGACAATTTAGCAGTTAATAATTCATACATTTACTTTTGAGGGGTTTCTGTTCACCTAGTTCAACATTAAAAGGCTGTACAAGTGTATTTTTCACTAAAGAAATTGTATAGTGTTATATTAAATCCCTTTTTGATTAAAACGCATTAAAAAAATTGGTTTAACCTGTTTTTTCTATATGCATTTTACATACACTCATTCATCTAAACACTTGTGTCTCTCAGAATGCTCTAGAGAGGCTTGGTCATCCCTAAAAGTGGTCTTCCTGAGTCCCTCCCCCATTCCCTGGTGTCAGCAGGTTAAAGTTACGGCATCTTTGCTTCTGTTTCCACACCTCTCTTTGTTCTACCTCCAGGGGTGGCCACTTTAGTTACCCAGACTTGTCCAAGGCCCGAAAACCCAGATTTTAAAGATGTATTGACTCTAGAATGATTTGAGAATCATAACAAAACCTTTTTTAGTACTGCAGCCAGTACTTTACCAGTGAGATTAGCTCAACGCGGTGAGTTCTAGCTACCCGGACCATGGACTTTCTGATCGGTAAAAGGTCCTTCACCACCTGGGACATCAAAATGAAAACAATAACAAGATTTACGGTCTGTAAAACTAACTTTGAAATCCAAATATCTCTGAACTACTATTATCAGTTAAATATGTATTCGAAAAGACAATGGTTTATTAATGCCTTTTGACAGATTAGGGCCATTTAATGCTGACGAGACATGAAAATCTTACACATTGCTCCTTTAACGTCCACATGGTTGGACCTGACAGTGGCTCTCTCTCTGGGACTCTTCTTCTGCTTCTGCAGCTTCTGCAGCGTCAGACTTCGAGTGACCCTTTCCTCCGTACAGATCGTCCTCTTCGTCCTGTTTGTTGGCCAGGACCCGCGGCGGTTTCCTCCTGAGATCTGAGGATAGGTCCAGAGCTGTCAACACACACCGCGCTCCTGGGATCCTCTTCTTATCTGAGCATTTCACCACAAACACCACACTGTGAGACTGGGAGCAAAAGTCTTTCCACAGGTCTCTGGACGCCTCCCCACCTCGCACTTCATAAAGACTGACCTGACATGTGCCCATTTTCCACTGGAGTTTGGAGAGCCCAGAGGTGGATGCAGGGTCTTGGGGTGTGATTCCCGTCCCACCATGAGGAGATTCATATTCCACTCTGGTTCTCGCCATTGTTTAAAGTGGTTCCTAGACTTTTCCATTGGGAGTTTCTTCGGCAGGGTTAGTTTGTGCTGATGTCTGGGATCTAAAATACGATTAAAAGCCAAAATCGCACCAGCTCCTGCGTAACAACAGCTTGAGTTGAGTTTACAAGTCGCATAATGCCATCTCTCGGGATTTCTACCACTGGGACTACAGAGGGTCTAGCACTTCTGTTTATGATTTGATACAGAAGTAATTGTATTTCACATTCTACTATAAGGGAAGCATAAATGAAGGTGACAGCTTTTTTCAGATATATTCAAGATGATGATGAGGGCTGTTCTCACTAGTGCATGCTGGGATCTCCTATACCTGCTCCTACCATGCAAGAAACCACCTACAGTTTTTGTCTCGGTTTTGCATGCTAAAAGGGCTATATAAAAACATCCACGGGTTCCTATGCTAAAGGGGCTAATAGAGGAATGCCCCCAGTTTGTATGCTAAAAGGGCTAATAGGAACGTCCCCAGTTTTCTATGCTAAATGAGCTAGTATAAGGATGTCTCCAGTTTCATATGCTAAAAGGGCGTGCAATAGGTAATGCTAATTTATTTTTGGTTGGGACAGTGCATGTTAATGATTCTGCAGTAGAACCATGTGTGGTGTCTCAGACCTGTCCGCAGCCAAGCAGAATGTTGACAGAATGTGGAAGGGGATGGCTGCTCTCAGTGGGATTAGTCTGACCTCTGTGACCTCCCCTTTAACAGGCTCTTTTACAGCCTCTGAATGGACCCCTGCCCAACACCTCAGCACGCCCTCTGGCCTACACTTTCTAATGGAACAAAAAGAGCACAATGGAGACTAAGACTGGCGCATTTATCGGGATATTTATGAAGGTAAATGTCCTCATGCTACGGCCTGAAATGTACGCAGAACCCTCCATTTTACTGGACAGTATCAGAAATATTTGCAGCAGGCATGTCAAACCATAGACTGTAAATATTAACAGGTGTGACGTAGGTGTGACGTAGTCACACCTATCTCTGCCATTAAAACTAATGTGCCACCACTTTTGCCTTCTTTAGGTTTTTTTTTTAATGGCTGCACTATAGCCCCATTCATTTAACAAGTGCATTCAAAGGTCCACAGCGGCTAAACTAGACTGGTCCCAAAAAATACTCCCCTCAGAATTGACACACATCTGGAACGTAGCGTTGTGCCAAAAGTAACTTTTGGACCGTCCCGTAAAGCTGTTTTCGAGAGGAAAGAAACACCATACAAGAGGGTAATTCTCTTTCCGGGTACACCCCCACCGGCCCGGAGTGTGATTGCAGCATGTCAGCGCACATGCTCTTGGACCTTTTGGAGCCGGGACCCGCCCCCAATGGTTAAAACCCTAATATGATTTTCAATTATAATTATTAACTTGCATCATTGATGATTATGAGACACCAAGGCATGTTATACATAATCTATTATCACAGAAAAACAACAAAATGTTATGTTTTCTAAAATGTTAACCCAACACATCATTAGAAGTCAAATAGTACAATGTAAATAAATGTGGCAGGAGCTCTGGTGTGTACTGCACTGGGGAAGTCTTGCACAGTTTTTCCAATGTGGTTTTGGTGCAAATGCCATAAGAAAATCTTGAATGTGTTCAACTTTCTATTTGGTCCAGTTTTGGTTCAATCTAATCAATATACACGTTTTGCTTTCAGAAAAATAAACCAAAAAATAACCGTGAAACTCATGTCACATTAAAGTCAAGTAAAAATACCTTCATGATGTAAAAAAAAAAAAAGAATAGTATAAGAAAAGGACATCCCTTCTCTTCTTTTGGCTCCAGACCAGTTTCTATTTGTTTTATTCTGCCCCTGATCAAAATGAGTGTGACCCCTGCCTTACTGTAATGATGGTGTTCTCCTGCTAGAGACCCCCCCTGGGCCTGTTCTGTTTTGTTGTTTGTGAGTTAGATGATTCCTTCTGTCATGTCAAAGGCGACATTACCATATTCATGTTGCCGAGGAAACCAGCAGCGAGAGCGAGGGGCTGGTGTGAACATGAAAGGTTATCTTCCACCATGATGAGACGGCGACGGTCTTTCAGAGAGAGACGAACACCGGCGACCTTTTGGGAACCGCTGAAATTACAGCAAATGGTTTTAGCAATTTCTGTTTTCAAGCAATTTCACTTTTGATGTAGAGATCCTTTGTTTGTCCCACAGTGGGGAAATGTCAGTGTTGCATCACCAGTTACAGAACAGTGGGAATGGCAACAATAACTATACTATAAGAAAATAATAATTCAAGCTTTAGCTTAATAAAGAAGCAAGTATACAATCTCTAGCTTTAGCATAGTAAAGAAGCAAGTGAATTTGGACACGTCTGGTTCTATATAGATAGATAGATAGATACTTTATTGATCCCCGTGGTAGAAATGCAGGTGTCCAGTAGCAGCAAAAATCCAATTGATCATTCTAAAAAGCTAATAACAGTATTAATCAGCCACAGGCCTTCAGGTCACAGCAGCAGAGATGGAGTAACCCGTGGGTGGAGCAGGACTGGTCCCGGCATCAGAGGTGGAGTAGCCTCTGGGTGGAGCAGGACTGGTCCCGGCAGCAGAGGTGGAGTAGCCTCTGGGTGGAGCAGGACTGGTCCGGGCAGCAGAGGTGTAGTAGCCTCTGGGTGGAGCAGGACAGGTCACAAGGTGGAGCAGCCGTTGAGTTAAGACCATTTTCTCTGCTCTAGTCCAAAAAAAATGCGAAATGCTTCATTAGCATTTTTCAAAAAGTTAGCATTCCTCCAGTGGATTTTCACCTGATCCACTTGGTTCAGACCATGAATCCTCTCTGCTCTGGTCTGGACCAGTGTAAAACCATGAACACTGTACTGCAACAACATCTCAGTCTCAGGTAGAATAAAGCCAGAAAAAAAAAAAAATTATAAAGCACAAAACAACTGATTCAGAGCGACTTAGGACTTGCAGCCGTTTTCCAGCGCATTCAAAAGTAATGATATTGCACATTCTGACATTATTTCACATTATCACACGGCTCCTCACAGCAGCAGTAGAACGCTCCATTGATTTGAATGTAATTTCAAAACGTTCTACCGGTCATTATTTTCTATAACGGACCTCTCAAAACAATAATGACCGCTGCCCATGGCAACGCACTCTGTGCTTGTCTTTCAAATGCGTGGATAACTCCGCAAGTAGTTCCGGCCACTCCTGAGCTAGCCACGCTCAATCAACACACTTAAATGTTAATAGGAGAATACTTATACATATACATTCTTCACACACGTGCACGGAAATTTTCAGAATTTTCTGGTCTTGTCTTCATGACAAAAATACTATTTCTCTGCGTCAAAAAGCGATCGTGAAAAACCCGGAAGTAGTTTCGGCCGCTCAATAAACGCAAATGCCAATCAATCAACGCAATGAAATGTTAATCGGAGAGTAATTTATACATATCCAGTCTTAATACAAGTGCACAGAAGTTTTCAGAATTTTCCGTTTACGTTTTCATGACAAAAACACTGATGTAATGCGAGAAAAGGCGATCCCGAAAAACCCGGAAGTAGATACCGCCACATTTTCGAACACATTTGCAGAGGATCGAATTATGGATTTAGGTTAGGTTTATGTTTGGGTCACTCACCGCTGATGTTCAGAATGCTTTGTTCAGTTTTCATGCAGTTCCAGAGAGTTCTAGTTTGGAAGTTGCCAGCCTAACTGTTGCTAGCATAGCCACGGGAAAGCCTTTGGGAACTATTTTATTTTCTGTCATTAAATAAACCTTTCGGCATTCCTAAAAGTGGACTGAAGTTTATGTTGTGTGTTCTGTTGGTATAAAGCCGTATAATAAGCGGGATAACGTATATTACGCAGGTCATTATCGGAAAATAAGTACCTTCACCTGTCGGTACTTATTTTCCGATAATGACCTGCGTAATATACGTTATCCCTTACTTATTGCACAGCTGCACGACATGTGAGCTTGTTTATGAGTTTAAGTGACTGTTGATTGAAAGCTGTGAGTCATGATTTTACATGTGGTCTTTCCCCGGAGAAGGATGAATACACGTTTGCATTGTCTCCGGTTCCTCTTTCACATCTTGAAGCAAGTATAGGAAATTTGAAGTGGATTTTCTGTAGCAAAAAATCAGAATATTACTTTATGAACCACCGGCGACTTCTACTACAGTTATTCACTATAGCAGCTTTATTTGAAGTATAAATCTTTGCTAAATCAATCCCATGTGTTCAACTGTGTGGCTTATTTCTCAGTTTTCAAATTGTGACTTGATGTTAACCATTTGTATCACTGAAAAAAATCCCTTGAAAATAATAATAATAATAATATATATATATATATATATATATATATATATGTATATGAAAATAATTGAAATACTGCTTAAAATAAGAAAAATGCTCTGTCAATAGAACAAGATAATAGGACTTGACAATATTTCTGAAATAACAAAATGATACTAGCCCCATATGACTTGATTCCAGTATTTAAAAAAACATTGTGTATTATTTATTCGTTTCTTAAACATTTTTTGGAAGTGTTTTCTCAAAATATGGCATAACAAACTTATTTATCTAAACAAGAAAAGTTAAGAAAAAATACTTAAAGCAAGCTTAAAACTCACTGCTCAGATTTTTCTCTAAGACTATGAACTATTACTATCTTAAAAATGGTAAAATAATCTTAAATGACAACATTCAAGCAAAAAAACTTGCCATTAAAAAAATAAGCATAATTTATGTTATTCTTAGTAAATTAATCTTACCAATATTTTACTTTTTTCAGTTGTCTTTACTTCCTGTCCCCAGCAGTATAAGGTGGTGGAAGGGTTAGCATCAGTGGGGGCGGGTCCCGGCTCAAAAGTGGCCAAAATGATTTGCGCTGACATGCTGCAATACCACCTCGGGCCGATGGGTGTGGACCCGGAATAAGAATTAGCCAATGCTAACATATAGCATCTTCTTACCTCTCGAAAACGTCTTTACAGGAAGGTCCAAAAGATGGCTCTTGGACCAAAGCACCGTCCCACACAAGTGAATTTTTTTGGACCAGTCTAGTTTAGTCGCTGTGAATTTTTGAAGGCACTCGTTAAATGAATGGGGCTCGTGCCGGCTGACGCATGCGCAGATGTGTTTTTTCACATTTTCCAGCCCCCCCTAGGCCATTTTAAAACTGCCCATAGACCGCGGCAGTTGTGGCACATTAGTTAGAACGGCGAAGATAGGCGTGACTACGTCCGTTGATATTAAGTTTATGGTTGCCTCACAGCAGAAGGTCAGTGATATGATTTTCTCGCTGAAATAAAAATGAAATCCTAAACGTTTAGCTTTTCAAAAACCACAGCTGCAAATCCCGCTGATTAACTCTACCTCGACTCTCCAAGTTAACGTCAGGAGTGAACCAGAGTTGGACCCAAAACAGACAGAGACTAATTCAATTCAATTCCATTTTTGTAAAGCTCTAAATCACAACAGCAGTCGCCCCAGAGGACTTTAGAAAGTGGTCGATTCGTCAACAACAGATCAGAGAATTGTTACCTTCTCTCACATGGATAGTAAAAATGTCCATACTTTCTGGAACATTCCCAAAAGCCTTGAAAACTGCAGTAATCAGGCCCCTCCTAAAACAGGGCCTTTTATCTTTAGTCTTTTTAGTGTACGTTGATTATTTATGATTTTCTGTCTTGTGTGATACTTGTTTTGTTCAGCACTTGTTGGTTTTGTATAGTTAAGATCCCAAAAGCGGAGTGGAGACTGTCAGATATTTACAATTTATTATTTACAGACAAATTACTGCCAGGCAGGCTGTGGAGACGGAGGCTGGCAGAAGTAGCAGTAGAACACCTGGGGTAAAAAATTGGTTAAGTTCAAAAATCCAGAAAAACATGAGCAATCCAAAAATGAGCGCAGAGGCACAAAGCACTACTGACAAGATGGAATTATCTGGCAACAAACTGCAGTCCATGCTTAGCCCTTAGAGCCCAGGTGACACTGGGATGAGCTGCAGGTGTGCTCTGCTGCCGCGGAACCAGCCACGCCCCCGTCATCATCAGTACTGCCTTCAACACTAACACAGGGAGAGGGGGAGCAGAAAACAAAAGAATCCAAACCTTCACAGCACTTTGAGTTGCCTTGTGTATGAATTGTGCAATACAAAAAACTTGCCATGCCTTGCCTTAAACATTTTTAAAACGAGGAATGCAATAGCAAACACAAAGGAGCCTGTGGTTTACATGGGGAGCAGAATGACCACTGTCCATAAATGTCCTAAAAAGTCCCGGATCATCAGTGTCCTTGCATTTGCAAAGAACAACTTAAAAACCCAGTTGGGAAAAGTGAGAAACCTCGGAGGCCCACAGTAAGAGAAATAAACTACAATTGTAGCCATAGCTGCCCTGGGGCACACTGATGAAAGTGAGGCAACCAGTATTTGCCATCTGCCCCTCCCACCACCACCAGCAATTCACATACACCAGACTTTACAGCAGCCCCACTGGGGCACCTGGTGTTCTCAGGAATCTCCCATCACAGTGATATCCAGACCCTGCCCTGCTTAGCCTCTGAGGTCTGGCAGGATTTGGGTTTCACATGCAGGTGTGGGTCGTCTCTGAGACACACCCCAAAGCTTCATGTCAGATCCTGGAGCTTGTACAGACATCTCTCTCAGTGATTGTGACACGACTCATGTGTAAAGTGCTGCAGTTAATGTGACGTCCATCACTGGCTCTGACCCCACGGTGAGTTTGGGGGTGCGCCTGCTCCTGCGTGTGTGCGGAGCCACGTGTTTCCCATCGTCAGTGCAATCAGAGAGAGGCTGGAGCTGTCAAACGCATGCTGATTTTTCCATTACTCACAAAGTTATTCCAGCGATGTCTTTCTATGCGCACACGTGAAACCACACAGGAATAATTGCTCCCATTAAACAATTTACAAGTCAGAGTGTGGAGAGATGGCATCTCAGAGAGAGAGTGGGCAAATGGCATCTCAGCGAGAGAGTGTGGAGTGATGGCATCTCAGAGAGAGAGTGTGGGGAGATGGCATCTCAGAGAGTGTGGAGAGATGGCATCTCAGAGAGAGAGTGTGGGGAGATGGCATCTCAGAGAG